TTGTTGTCACAACCAGGAAAGAGGCTGCCACTGGCATCTCCTGGGTAGGAGCCAAGAAGCTATTCAGTGTCCCACAGTGCACAAGACAGTCCCCACCACAAAGGATGATCCAGCCTCAAATCTCCACAGCTTAGAGGTTGAGGAGCTTGTTCCAGACCTATGTCTGGAACACATATCTGGAAGACAATGATCTACAGAAAATCTTGCAACTCTCCTATTCATGAGCCCCCAAAAGAGTATAATTGATTAAAGTGTTCTCTCTCTCTCCCTCCCTCCCTTTCTCTTTTTTGCTTAACAAACATTTATTGAAACTTTCTCCCAGGCCCTATTATATTGTTTCATTTACTTTAATTACTTGCTTTTATTTAAAAAGAGTGTTTTCACAGGCTCCAAAAATACTTAAAAGGTATAGAAAAAAGAATCCCTCAATACCACCCCCTTTCCATCCTTACATTCCTCCCCACCCCATAATTATTCTTGTCTTGGTTCAAATTCTTTTAGGGTTTCTTTCTGAAACCACAAGCAAATATGAATACATATTCTTATTTTTGCCTCCCTTTTCCCTGAGAGAGAGAATTTTGTCCAAGTGGCTGAAACTTGGGTTGCAGATGGAGGACCACCATGAATCCTAAATGCTACCAGTGCCTGGGCCTCATCCTCAGCCAATTAGCTCAGACTCTCTGGGGCAGCTTTGTCTTCATCACTTTTGGAAGCTCCTCAGAGGATTCTCTGCTAAAGCCACAGATTTTCCATTTGCTTTTTTTCATGCTGTGCATTTTTGGGAGTTTGGGGATTCAGCCCACGGAGAACATCTTTGCTCTTTCTGGTTGCTTGTAGATGTAGCACAGTTTATTTGGTGGATGATATTGGGACCTTTTGTTATTACAAACCATGTACAGTTGCTCCCTGACTTATGATGGTTTGACTTAGTCTTTCAGCCCTGTGATGGTATGAAAGGGATACTACTGAGTAGAAACTATAGGTAGAGTTTGGAATTTTGATCTTTTCCCAGGCTAGTGATATGCGGGGTGCTTCTCTCCTGTGATACTGAGCTGTGGCAGTGACTTGGGCCTTAAGTCAGTCCTGATCACAAGGGGAAACAGCTGATGTTCTGCAGTGGGCTGCTTTGCTGAGCTAGGATGTTCATTAGGTCAAGTGTGTTCAGTGCATTTCCCACTAAGGATATTTGCAACTCACGATGCGTTTATCAGGATGTAGCCCTGTTGTGAATTGAGGAGCATCTGTATGTACATAATTTTGCACACCTGTTTTACCTTAACTGTGAGTGAAGAATGGGAATTGTGCATCTGAGCATGGTGGTAATTGCCAATGTTCCCTGCAGCAGGACTACATCTGTTCCCCTCACCTGGTATGTGCTCGAGGGCCCATTTCAAACCCCCATCCTCACTCATTGTCTCAGATTTTTAGATTTCATTCCCTCATGAGTACCCTCACCTTGAAGCATGGTTTTAGTTTACTTATTCCTGCTGTGAGTGAGGGGCCTCTTGGCAGGCATGTGAGGTCATTTGTGTTGCCTTGCTATAACTCGCTTAGGTTCCCCTGGCCTTTCTTTTGGATGGTTGGTCCTTTCTACATTGATTTCGTTTTTTCTTTTCTTTTTTTTTTTTTTGGTACCAGGGATTGAACTTGGGACCTTGTACTTGCAAGGCAGGCGCCGGAACCACTGAGCTAAATCCCCGGCCCCTCTCCATCGATTTCTTAGAGCTCTTTATTAGCCAACGAACCCTTTGCACTTATATGCTTGATTTCTTCCTGAACATATCCCTGGACTGCATATTGGGAAGATCTAGGATTGAACTCTGGACCATCCCCCTGACTCCTCTGAGCCTCCTTGCCTGATTCCTGGACTTGTTGGACATTTATTGTGGATTGATGGTCAAGCCTATGTCAGAACACAGGTCCTGGTGTGAAGGAGGGGTGAGGAATTCAGAGAGAAACTCTTTGGGTCTGACCTCCTGTCCTCCATTCATTTAATGCATTTAATAAAGCCGTGAACCTTTCACAGGGCCCTGTTTGGGGTTCTGGGGCTACTGAGAGAGACCTCGGTGTGGACCTGTCTAATCACGAGCTGTGAGGAAACCACTACCCATGTGGTTAAATGGAATAATGATTAAAAATTAAAGTCTTGCATTACCCTGGCCACATTTAGGAACTCAAAATCCGTGTGTGCCTCTTGGTGACTGTGGGACCTGCAGATGCTGAATATTTCCACATTCTAGTGGCTGGCACTGAGCTACAGGGGCAGGAAGGTGGGCCTTGTGCCAGTGAGTGAGTGAGTTCATCCAGAGAGGGGGAAGTTCTGGGGAGATGGGAAAAGAAGGTGACAGAGATCAGGGTAGGGGCCTGAAAGGAGCCACTGGGTGCTGGAAGGGACCCCAGGTGCCAGCCAGGCCAAGATCAGAGGGAGGAGGCGGGATCAGGAAGTAGAGACACGCTAGTATGGGGATGAGCTTGTCTTGTGAACACTTGAGGGACCTCAGTGGGCATGGGGTGGGGGCCCAGCTGAGATGGAGGGGCCTGAGCATAAGCCCTGTTTGAGGTCACTGGAGCCACTGAAGGGTTCTGGTTCCGAGCCTGATTGTCACCGTCTGTCTGTGTCATAGAGAGACACTCTCCATCCCCTCAGGCTGCTCCCTGTGGATGAGGGCTGAGGATGGAGGCAGGGAGACCAGCAGGGGGGAGGCTGCTATGGTTCTCAAGGAGGGGCCAGGCTCATGCCGGACGGTGAGTGTGGAGGTGGAGAGAAGAGAAAGTCTTGGCGTGTGTTGTTATTTGTGCTTTGTTGAGGTTTCACGGACTTCTGGGACAGTTTGCCCCTCTAAAGTGTGCAGCTTGGTGATCTTGGGCATATTCACCCTGTCATGCAGCCGCCATTGCTCTCATTGTTAGAATACCATTATCACCCTGGAAGGTCTCTTGCCATCAAGCCCTCCTCACATTCCTCCCTTGCCCTCCAGTCCTGGAAACCAGCTGTTTGTTCTCCTGTCTCTGGGGATTTGCCTATTTTGGACCTGCTCATAAATGGGGTCATGCCACATATGGTCCTCTGGGACCAGCTACTCTCACTTAGCAGTGTTGCCCAGCTTCATCCACATAGTAGCATCTATGAGAACTTGGTTTGTTTCATGGATGGTAATACTCCGTTGCATGGGTAGACTGTGGTTTAGCTCTCCTTTTGTTGATGGACATACAGGTTGTTTTCTACTTTTGACTTCTGTGAATACTGCTGCCATGACGTTCATGGGTACGTTTTTGTGTGGACTGATGTTTTTATGTGGATATGTGCCTAGGAGCGGAGTTCCTGGGTCATATGTTCACTTTGGGTTTCACTTCTGAGGAAGGACCACACTGTCTCCAAAGCAGCTGCAACATTTTAGTTCCCATCCACAACAGACAGAGGTTCTAGCCTCTCCACATCCCCATCAACACTTTCATCATTTTGTTTTTTATTGTAGCCATCCTAGTGGATGGGTGTGAAGTAGTATTTCATGGTGGTTTTGAGTTGCATTTCCCTTGTGGCTAATGGTGTCAAATAATCTTTTCATATTCTTATTGACCATTTGTATAGGTTTTCTGGAGTAATGCCTTTTCAAATGCTCTGTCTTTATTATTGGGTTGCCATTGCTCTTTGTATATTCTGGATACAAGTGTATTCTGAATCCAGGATTTATGATTTGGAGAAATGCTCTCCCATTTTGTGGGTTGTCTTTCTAATCTCTTCAAGATGTCCTTTAAGGCACAAAAGTTTTTCATTTTGGTAAAGTCCATTTTATCTATTTTTTCTTTTTTTGTTTGTGATTTTGGTGTCATAACTAAGATACTGTTGCCTAATCTGGGGTCATGAAAATTTATGCCTGAGTTTTCTTTCTTTTAACAGTTTCCTAGTTTTAGCTCTTTCATTTAGATCTTGATCTCTTTTGAGTCAGTGTTTGCATAGAGTGTGGGTTTACAGATATTCTGAAGGTAGAACTCAGCTTTGGTGATAGGGTGGGAAGAGGAAGAGAGTGGAGGAGACCCAGGGGCCTCAGCCTGCCCCTGGGAGATGGGCAAGGTGGAAGAGGGGCAGTTTGGGGAGGAGGAGTACAGGGGCTAGTTCTGGCTATGGAGCTGAGACAGGGTGTGAGTGCAATTGGGATGTAGGCGGGATTTCCTTAAAACCGGAGTGGGGCTGCCTTGAAGAGTGATCCCAGAGAGAATGACATAGCCTAGAAGAGAAGGCCCTGTGGCTGGCCCGGGGTAGGCAGGTAAGCTGAGAAGGAGCAGCCAAGGAAGAAGGAGGAAAACTGAAGAGTCTTCATAAGGGATCAGAAAGAGGCTGTGAGGAAGGGGATGCTGTGTGTTCCGAAGCAGGTGCCTCCCCTCTCTGGGCAGAGTGTGAGGCATGTGAAATAAAAATGTTGGAGGCCTATGTTTACGAGCCTGTGACTGTTTCCCCAATTAACAGCTAACTGATGTTTTATTTCAGAGTAGATGTTCTGGTGGTATCATCCCATTCTCGCACCACTTTTCTCTATGTGTGAGTGTGCTCGTGTGTTTGGATGCGAGGAATGTTTAAAGTGAGATCACCAAGAGTTACCACTGGCAGTGACGAGGCTGGCTGACATTCACTGAGGCCCTGCACTGCAGGGTGAATGGCCCGGAGCCCAAGTGCACTCCTGCCCCCTGGTGGCTGGAACATGTCACTCAGTTCTGTGCATTGTTCCAGTGTGGGTCTCCCATCCTAGAAGCTGGCTGCTGTTACTATGCTCCGTCCCCAGATGGCTGAGTCTCCAAGAGGTTTAGGCACTCACTCGGGTCACATAGTTATTAAGTGACTGGGGCTGGGCCACTTGAGCCCAGATCTGCTGCCTTCGATCATTCATTTGGGGGAAATTTCCACTTTGTCCAATGTTGAGAGAGAATAGACTCTCAACGTGACGTCCTTCTCCTATGACTAGGAAAGCCCCCAGTAAAGTTCTTTCCTGGTGTTCTGTGTCTAGGTGACATCGCGAGACCTGGAGCGAGGGGATGCCCGCCAGTATAATGAGCAGCTGCCCAGGGAGCCGACACCATTGTCCTCAGGCACCCAAAGAAGTCACAGCTTTTGTAAAGACAAGAGAAGTGGGCCCTGTGCGGTGAGTGACACTGGCATAATCGCAGAGGAGTGCGTAGGTGGTGCTGGTTCTGGCATGCTGCTGTGACGGTGTCCTCAGAGGGTCAAGGCTGGAGGTGGAGGGTGGGCGGTCGGTGTCTGAGAATCCGACGTCTCCTGGCTGGCTTTGCTGGTTTGTTTTTTTTTTGTTTTTTTGGTACTGGGGATCGAACTTGGGTCCTTGCACTTTCAAGGCAGGCGGCGGAACCACTGAGCTAAATCCCCGGTCCCAGCTTTGCTGGTTTGTGATGTGGAGGGCATTTGGTGGCTTTGCTCGGGAAACTGTGTCAGCTCTTGGGTTTGTTGCACAATGTGGAGAGGTGATCCCAGCTGCCTGGCGTGGAATGGTTGAGAGGGTGTGTGCTTGGGTCCAGAGGCTCTGGGCTCAAATCCCAGAACTGTCTCTTAGCCTCTTTGAGATTTTTGAGCACCGTCCTTAATTTCTCTGCACTAGATTCGGCAGATGAGGAATGGGACCTCGATTCCTCTGTAGCTGTTTTCAGTAGGGTTGTGCGTAAGGCTCAGCACACAGTAACACCTATAACTGACAGCCTTGGTGAGGAGCGGAGGCTGCAGAAAGTTGGTTCTGGAGCCAGAGTGCTTGGTTCAAATCCTGGAGCTGTGTACATTCCTGTGTGGCCTAGAACAGGCTCCTGGCCTCCGTTTCCTTTTCTGTATAGTGGGAGTAATAGTAGTATCCACGTCCCAGGGGCTCGGATGAGATCCTGCATGGTGAACCTTGAAGGGTCCTGAGCAGGTATCTGACACTTCCGCCTCATCGTGAGCACAGTCGTTGCTCTTATTGTTCTCTTGTTGTCTCCAAGGCTCCATTTGGCTCCTGTGTGGCTCTGTGTCCTCGAGCCAGCCTGACCTCTGTCTCAGGCTGCCTTCTCTCTGTGGAAGGATCTGGGGGAATGAGCAGCAGGTCCCTGGGGAAGCTGTTCCCCTGGAGCCTCCATGTATCCAGGCGAGGTCCAGGCCTCACAGCCTCTGATGATTTTCTTCAGATCTTTCTAGTGCCATGATTCTTGGCGATCTGCTGAGTTCCACACTTGCTCTCAAGTCTGTTCTGGGCTGCTGGCCCCATGCAGAGGTCCGAGAGAGGAGGTTTTTGAGTAAGGTGACGTGGGTCCTGCCCACAAGGGTCTTTTGGGCTGCACAGGTATCAGGCTGATCTCGTGTGCTGGAGACGTAGGATCCTTCCTGCATTTATGTCCTAGGTCTGTCCCTCCCAGCTTTAGCCATGGATAAGACATCTCCCTCCCCTAAGCCTGGTTTCCTCCTCCACAGAATGGGGTGAAGATGGCATTGGCAGGCCTCATGCTAGGACACGGTATCGAATGGGCTGGGGCAACAGGGTTCAGGAGGAACTCGGACCTCCAACTTGGACCTTCACTGAGCAGCCCCAGAAGTTTCCTCAGGTGTCCGCATCCCAGCCACAGCCCCACACATGTTTGAAACCTGCCTGGGTTTTGCTGAATGTTCCCTTTTTCTGATTTCATCCTTACCTTCTCTCTCCTCCCACTCAGGGGCTGTACCTTGGCCCAGTTGTACATGAATGTGTGTATGTCTCTGTGTGTGTTTATGTGTATGTGTGTCTGTGTGTAGAGAGGAAAAAGAGGAGACAGAGAGCAGGTTATGGGGAGAGACACATTTAAAGTCGGTCTGTTTGTAGTCCCTGCTTGCTGGAGTCCTTCCTGGTGGCTGACTCTTCCTCTTTTACTTTGTCATTGAGGAGCTCTTGTCCTTGGAGTCCCCGGGCAGCTTGCCTTGGCTTCCTCTTTCTGCTGGAGGCCCCTGATCAAGCTGCTTCCTGATTTCCTCTCCTTTGGAGGAGGGTGGTTGGGGACTCTGCCTAGCTAGACAGGATAGGGGCCTCAAACCCTATTTTCCTGTTCTTGGGACTCAGGCCGGCCCAGACAGAGCCAGCACAGGGGGTGGAATTGTCATCTCCCCTCGTCTTGTGCCCGCCCAGCCACCTGGAGGGACCTAGGCATGGGGCTCTTGAGGCTGAGGGAAGTAGGTTCAGAATCCAGTCTGCCACTTTGTGACCTTGGGCGAGCAACGCCACAGAAGTCACTGGGCCTCAGTGTTTCTCGCTGTGATATGAAGATGGTCCTCTCTGACTCAGGAGTGCGTCTGTAAGCAGGAATGAGATCACCCAGCACACAGTGAATTCCCAATCGATGGCTCAGCGGCAGTGGTGGCTTCTCTCCTTCTCACTCCCTTCCTTCTTTCCCCGTCCCCTCCTTCTCTTCTGCTCTCCCTTCCCCGCTCCCCCTCGCGCTCTGCTTCTCTCCCCCTCTTCTGCTCCTCACCCTTTTTTTCCTCACTTGTTCAACTTTCTCTGTGTAAATGAGCAAACTGAGGCCTTGATTAGAGAGAGGGCTCAAGTGGCTAGGGTGACCTGCCAGCCGAGGATTGGGGTTCTGAGCTGGTCATTCCCGCACTTTGTACCTCCTGGCTGGGGGGACTGTGATCAACATTTTCTGCAGTGAGTTTTCTGTGCTTACTTTGATGAAAGACTTCGTGCAGTTTCTTTCCTTAGTACTTGGGCTCGTGTTTCAGGCTTTGTCGGTCCCCACTCCAGTGCCACTTGGAGAGTATGACTCCCATTTTGCACAGGAGCATAGTGAGGTGCAGAGGGGCTAAGCCACTTGCCCAAGGCCACAGGGCTAGCTGCAGAGGGAGCTGGAGGGGACTGGGGCTGTCCTGCTGGCTTCCAGCCATGGACTAGGGCCCCTGCTGTCGGAGACGGTGCCGTGGCCCACTGCCAGCCCCCTCTCCCCTTGGGCCTGCAGCACTCAGTGCAGTAGCTCCTGGAGAAAATAGGACACCTGAGCCCTGGAACTCCTTGGGGGCTGGGAACAGGATACTTGTTCAGCCCAGGGTGGTCGACAGCTGTTCTGCTGCTGCCATGCTCCAAAGGCTGCCTGGGACCTGCTAGGCCGATGCCCTGTGCTTGCAAAGCCTGTCCAGTCCCGGTGACCTATAGGCTGTTCAGCGCCTGAGCAAGAGACCAGGTGCTGGCCCTGCCACTCAGGGAGGTCCTGACATGAGTTACCCCTTGGGCACCATGAGGAGTAACGGGGATGATAAGGCCTAGCAGAGCACCCAGGTGAGGTGAGCCTGGCCCCGTTAGGTCCCTCTCCTAGGTCCTGGTCTAGAATCCATGCTCTTAGCCATCTGAGGACCTTCCCACTCCCCTACCCTGTAGGGTGGCCAGAGGCGGAGCTGACACCATGCTATGCCGGTGAGCACCAGCACAGGGGCTGGCACTGGAGCTGGCAGTGCACATCCCTTGTTGGCCTTGCCTTGTTACTCCCTGCTGCTGGGTGTTTCCCTGCATTTTTCTTGAGGAGCTGATTGGAAAGCAAGGCACCCCAGTCCTCAAAATTTTTCTGTGGTTGAGGAAACAGGGGCCTGGGCCACTTGCCCAAGGTCCTGTGATGGGAGCCAGCAGGAATTGAGCCTTCCACCCTCACCAGTGATTGGTTCTTCCTGTTCCCCATTCCTTTCAGGGACCTCTGGCCAGTCCTTCCCCACCTAGGGCATGGTGCCCTTTGCTCCCCATCCTGTGAGCTTTGGTCTCCCTGTTGATTTGACAAGGACACTAGAGCTTGGTGACTCAGCTGTAGACTCCGACCTTGGGCCTCGATTTACCCTGGAGAGCTCTCCAGTGACCCTGAGGGTAGATTTTTCAGCTGTGCTGTTCCCATGATAGGGCAGAAGGTAGAGCTGGGGTGACCTCAATAATTGTCTCCCAACTACCCAAACGCATCAGGTGGCATTTGCTGGCTCAGGGAGCCATGAGTCTGCTGCTTTGTGGGGCTACTATGTGCTGGCCCTGCATGAGAGGGTGCTAGAGTCTCCCTCACCTCCTGCAGGCCACAGTCCAGGGGCCTGAAGATACCTAGGGAGGCACGGTGAAGGGGGAGGAGAGGGAGGCATTTGGGTGGAGCCCAGCATGAACAAGTTGTGGCCCTGGGTGGTGCTCTGTGGATGACCAGTTTGACTCAAGTAGAGCATTGGGGGTTTCAGTCTTTCCTTTGCCAAATATTTGTCTGTGTGTGCTAGGTGCTCTACCAGGCGATGGGTCACAGTTATGACTAAGACAGAAAATATGAAGTGGCACCATGGAGTGTGCTTTACCCACATTCACAGGCTCAGGTCCACAGTCTCTTAGCATTGGGGGAACACATCTCCATTTGGAGAGGTTCCCAGAGATGGGGACCCTTGTATTTAGTCTGAAGGACAAACAGGTGTTTGCCCCATGGTTGTGGTCTGGGAGGAAGTGCTTTGCCCCATAGAGAGAACAGCTTGGGCCAAGGTTCAAAGCCAGGAAACCTAGACAGCAGACATAATCCAGAGTCCACAGGTGTTCTGGAGTCCCTATTAGACTTTCATTCAATGATTGTGGCTGGAACTACCAGTGGTATTTTCATGTAGAGCTGAGACTTTGCCACCTCTCTTGCTGATGAGACTGTCGCCCTTGCTTTCAGGGGTAGTCCTAATCTGTCATCATGCCACCATCTTTGTACCTAGGATTGGCCTGGGCAATTGTTGGAAGATTTCAGAGCATTTGGGTCCTGATGTTTTCATTGTCATTATTAGAAAATGGGGGGAGCAGTGTTTGGATTCTGATGACAACAGTGGCAATTCTTGTGAGTGTCATCAACCTGAGATGAGAGGGACCTTGCAGTGATTAAAAATCAAGATGTAAATAGAGATGGGATAGTCTCTTATTTGCCTAAGATGTGGATTCTCCTCCCCACAATGTATGGCTTGGTATGGCCACATCTGACATTGGGCACCTGTCCTTGTCATAATGAATTGAGTGCACATGAGAAATGCGGCTCACAGGATTAAACTGAAGGGGCTGATTGACTCACACATAAGATGTCCAGAGGTAAACATGCTCGTGGGCTTTCCTTCGTGCTTCCTGCCTCAGGGGGCCGGGATGGCTGCCACTCTGCCAGGCAC